CTACAATCTCACAGCCTCCATTACATACGTCTACAATCTCACAGCGTCAATTACACACGTCTACAATCTCTCAACGTCTATTACACACTTCTACAATCTCACAACGTCCATTGTACACGTCTGCAATCTCACAGCGTTCATGGCACACGTCTACAATCTCAAAACGTTCATTACACACGTCTACAATCTCACAACGTCCATTACACACGTCTACAATCTCACAACGTCCATTACACACGCCTACAATCTTTCAACGTACATTACACACGTATAGAATCTCACAGCGTCCATTACACACGTCTACAATCTCACAACGCCCATTACACACGTCTACAATCTCACAGCGTCAATTACACACGTCTGCAACCCCACAGCGTCCATTACACACGTCTACAAACTCACAACATTCATTACACACGTCTGCAAACTCACAACATTCATTACACACGTCTACAATCTCACAGCGTCCATTACCCACGTCTACAAACTAATATCGTTCAGTGCACACGTTTACAGACTCGCAACGTACACCACAGACACACTTACATACCCATATCACACATTACCACGCGCATACAGACTCGTGTCGTAAATTAAGTCTAGCAGCGTACAGTACAAGCGTATACAGACTAAATTTTAAAATCTGTTTTAATTTTTTTTTCATAGATCGCACCGCTAATATTGTCAGATTTAGATCATGTTGCGCACAGCACTTGTTGTGGACCATTTAACCTGATATTGTACGCCGCAATTGGGCCATCGCGACGGTGAAAATACGATCACATATTTTTCATATAATAAGGATGTTGCCTGTACAACAAATTTAATTGTGTCAATGTTTGTGTGTAACTGTATTTCTACTGCGAAAGGCAAATGTTGTCGCGTGCATTCGGCCTAATTTGCAGAGAATAACAATTGAGAAAACGTATTCAAAAAATATAAGTGTTCTACAATAGTCCAAATAAAAGCCTTAATTCATAAAAAAATATGATTTTCTAATAATACGTTATAAGTATCTGATACACACGTGCGAGTTTCACACATAGTAACCGAGCAGTTTGATATGTGACAGCTGACTGAAAATAACAATATTTTTTTATGTTTTGACCCACGTGCGAAAACTAGCTCGGTGACAATATATTCTATATGGGTTTTGTGAACTATAGGAAAAAATAAAACCACACTATAAACAAAAACGTAATCTGATTATCTCTGTTTATGGTAGCCAACTACATTGTGACTATTATCTACCAAGCGTGCGGTCAACTTTATCTATATAAATCAACAACATCACAAGAGAGTTGAAGGTGAAACATAGAACAATGTCAATATCCTTTCACGATGAAAACTCGATGTTTACAAAAAAAGGCATTGGAACCTTTTGAGAAACTGGTTTCCCCATACATTAACCAAATATGTGTAATCGGGTATACATAAAGTGTACGCATTAGTAATGAATTCGTTACGAGACTAATGTGCTTATTTGTAGATCACTATTCCCGAAGATCAAATGCTGGATGCGAGATCCTTGTACAACAAATTCACACTGGATCAACTTAATCAGCTGGCGCCAGCGGTGAGTGTTTTACATTCTATCGAGGCACCCACCAACGAGTACGGCATACATTGCATTCACATAGACTCGAACCGTCAAATGATTGCGAATGATTTCCAGCGAGTTTTCTAAATTAGGCTAGATTGTACACCCATTACTCATAGGTTTGGGAAACATTTTATGATGGTCCCTAAAGGTCAGTTAAATGTTTGAGGAACAAGATCATTTCAGTACTCTGAAAAATGAGGATACGATATCTACTTTTAACATGTCACAACTCTTTTATCTAAAATAGAATCATTTGAGCAAATTTCTTGTTTACAGCTTGTTCTGAGAGTGATGTTTTACATATTTGCAAAATGGAAATGCAACTTTGATAACGTCATCAAGCAGAATCTAAATTACTGTTGTTTGTATGATAATTATTTGAAAAAAATAATAACATTTAAACGAGTTTCAGAGAACTATATCAATCGTGAGTAGTAATGTTGATTTCCGAAAATTCAAAAAAAAATATGTTTCGCATCACCAACATTTCCGTTTTGCCTATATGCAGATGTGCATGATCAGTGTATATATGACGTCATCAATATACACAAATACATGTTTTTTGTGATTTAATCCTACTCTCCACGACATGTTCAGATTAACTGGCTTGACTTCTACAAGGGTTTATTTCCGAACATGACGTCATCAACGGAAGTGATTGTCAGCTCGCCTACTTACCTGCGGAACATGTCACGCATCATCCAGTCTACTCATCCACGGTAAGGTTTCCCATAATCCTCTTCCACGTTTGTCAGTTTGCGATTTATGGCGGCCATTTTGAAAACAAAACAGCGTTAAATAGACGACGTATTGTATATACGTCCCAGTGAGTGACAGCATGATCCGTTCAATCTGGAGCTTACTGATATGATACAGAACGTTAATAATGGATACAACGAAAACTGTATTCGTTTTTACCTCGTTCATAGAATACTCAACAACTACTTGATATGGCATGTGACGCAGCAGAACGTTCCAGGGTTGTCTCTTCATTTTCGATATGCCGCTGAAAAGATGAGTAACATTGTGGAGAATACACGCACGACCAAAGAGGCATGGAGAGAGTGTGTTGGGGTAGTGGATGGCAAATTTGGCATGGAACTCGGAGCGGTGTTTGTAAAAAGGAAATTTCCAGCCGAGAGCAAGAAAAGGGTAGGAATGAATCGAATAATTGTCTTTATATTTTCAAATTGCGTGTCTAATATAATTTGAAGGTTTATTTCAGATTCCGAATTGTTAACTCAAATAATGTTTATAATATCATTGTCTTTGACAGAACACCCAAGTTCATATATCCTTAATGATATCAACTGGGATCACAAATTTACAATATTCAATTTGGAACATATGCTAGACAATGGGTTAGACGAAAAGAGGTAGACACTAATTTGAATGTTCTTTTAATGGCAAAATATGGCCATAAATTCCCAGTTTTGGAATATTTAGTGCAGCTTTTGACTATGTAGGCATTGATAAAAAACAATTGGGAAGGTAGTTCAGTATCTCTGGAATAAGCCTAGCTTGGCTTAATATATATTTGAAAGATAAATGTCAGGGTGTTTCAGTTAGAGGGCGTCTTTTCTCTATATGCTTACTAGGACTCAGTGTTTGAACCGATGCTTTTCTTAGTTCGTATATGTCCCCACTGGCCAGTAATAAGATACGTCACGGGTTGTCTTACCACATGTATACTGTTGAAACACAATTTTATAAATAAGTCGTTCCAATAAAAAAACTCCGTAGAAAGTCACTTGGATGATAAGCTCAATGGTTGCATTTGTGATTTGAAAACAAGCTGGGTGCAGGAAAAATAAGCTTCAATTAAATTACAAAAAAATGATCGACAGGCAATGTCATATTGATTAACCCACAGTCAGTTCTGTTAATGTGAACAAGAGCCAGTTTACTTTCAGTGATACTATACGTAATTCATGATGTTGTCTATGCTCATCTATTAAAACTATCGAACTTATGTAGCGATCAGTTCTCGACTCAATTACTGCAACAGAATGAGTTCATTGTATGGCAGTTCGAGTTCTTCAAATTGATACAAGACTAATTTTGAGGAGAAAAAGATACGATCACTTCTCACTTGACATAATTAACCTCGACTGGTTGCCTATCAAATAAGAAGTGTATTAAGAATGCTGTTATTTAGGCACTATGCGGCCAATCACCAGATTACATTGCTGCAATGTTGAAACCTTGTGTTTCTGTTATCGCTAGCATTAGGTCCTCACTATGTGTTTGCTTGAGGTACCAAAATAGTAACATCTGGCGTTAAGGTGTTTGTCATTTGTGCACAACATTTGGCGAATGCCCTTCCAATTGCCATAAAATCAGTACACTGAATGTCAAAGAAATATGGAAAACATATTTGTTCATAAAGTTTTAACCTATGATTATTTCGGAATGTTAAAATATTTTTATTATAATTGTTTGCTGTCATACGGACTTGATTTCTTTTGCGGTATTGTAGTGTCCTGTCATCTTTTTTTCAGTCATTTGCATTGTGTTCTTAGATTTGTATATCTGCATATCGATTGTTATGATGATATTTCTACTTTTCATCAAAGGTAGAAGACATGATAGAAGACATTAAATTATCATTTCACCATATATTTGATACATTGGAGTGGATGGATGAATTGACAAAAGACAAAGCCAGAGAAAAGGTATAACACATTTAGTATCACTACACTGCACTCTTATGTATTTTGAGAAGAAGATCAAACAGAAGCACACTCCATAACATCAGATCAATAACAATTCTAACTACCAATCAAACTCGTCGCCGAAATGAAGTACACGGAACAGCTAGCAATTGCGGTTCCCATGTGTTCTCGGCATGTAATCGTCAAAATAGTATCGATCTGATATTTGTTTCATTCTCGTCTCCTGTGATCTTTGTCGTCATTCTACTGACTTCCTTTCCTTGGATCCTTCAGATCAGGGAACATGGTAATGGACGCTTATGCATTAACATATCAAACAACCGAAATTACACAAACGGGGAGAGCATTCATGATAGCATCTTTGTAATTATATAACTTCATTTGTTTCAGTTGAATGCGACATTTGATATGATCGGCTATCCTGACTATATCCTTGATACGGAGTATATGGATAAATATTACGAAAAGGTAAAATAAGCTGGTGTGAACATTTGTTGATGTAGTTTGCATAAATTAATAAATTAACACTTCAATGTTTATGTGCTTTATGAGCATACATGATCATGCAGTTCGTTGAATTGTAAACCCCATCGAATTTCATAGACGAAATACTGTGATTGAGAATGTCAGTGATGCGATGGGTGACTAACTCAGATTTTCTCCGACGTGTAAAGTGACGCAATACGACGCCTACGACGCATGTAAAGCACAGTGATTCTTCGTTTACGGAATTATAAGGCGTGCTGTGTGGCGTCTTTGACTCGACGTTGACGACTCCGACGCGCTACGTGCCGACCATACGGAGCTGCGTGAAAACTATGGTGCTCTGTATGACGACTCTGGCGTGCTCCGTACAATATCTTGAAATATTGATATTCGTTCAGTACGTCCTCCGTGTATAACCTTTGCGTCACGACAAATAAGTCACTGAGAATTACCAAGTATTTCACAGTTATATCAAAGAGATGAATTGGCAATCAAACGTCTTCAACTATCATCTCGAACGACATATCCATAGTACTGTTCTATACTATACAAATTTACGGGGTGGATATGACAAATAAACACAATCTGTTATCTCCCACTAACTTCCCTTACTATGTACACCTAATTACAACTAATTTATATGCAATTACTTAATTATCTTTATTGGCCATACGGGCCTAATTCCCAAAGCAATGATTGTTCCAAGGCCATCTACAATGACATTAATATGTGAAATAGCAAATACTGATTACTGGTAGGCGTAATTCTCCAGATTTTCCAGGAAAGCTCTAATCATTGTGAATACATTATGAATAAAACAGGCAATGATAATTGTATATTTCAGATGACGATAGTGAAGGACGATTTCTTTCAAAATATACAAAGTTCGTTGAACTTCGAGTATGAGAATGCCAAAAAGAAACTGAATTCTCCAGTTGAGAAGTACAAGTAAAGTGCATTTTATTTGTCTTTATACATTTAGATGTATAAATATGTTATTTGTTTATCGTCATTTCTAGATAGATCTAAGCAGAGCGTCGCCGTAGTATACTGGTAGGTAGTGGTTGCGAGTATTATGTTGTATGTTTCCAAGATGGTGGTTGACAATGAATAATGTCACATACTGACCAACATATTAGCTGCATTTTGTTATAACTCAAATAATGTGGATTTTCTTCGTTATAAAGTTAATTACAGCAGCAGTGTAGCTTTTAACAATCTATTACTCGTGAGCAACGACTTGGCGTATCGTTCAGCGGTCGCGAGATTCCTGTCTGAATACGACGTCACATCCGGATATATTGTTCTGTATGTTCTTGGCTTTTGAACGTCTAGGAGATTAGTTCAAAGACTGGTCCAATAATAATACTTTAGACGTTATAACCGATTAACGAGATTAAATAAATACACTATTCCATGATATATGACACTTCCACTTCCCATTTCCTAATAATACAATATAAAAGTGAGTCTAATAGGGGTACCAACGATTTACCGAGTATCGATATTTTTTGTTTTTTTCAGCTGGGACATGACTCCTCCTGAGATCAACGCATATTATGGCAACAATAACAATGCTATCGGTACGTTTAAGTAATCAAATCAGGGGTCAATTCACATAATACATTCAGCGCACATAACATCACTTGCTATTAAAACAAATGCCCTATCTGAACGAAAGATGTTTCGAATTAGATGTCTTCTACTTATAATGGTACGGTTTTTAATTAACTACTTCTTATTTATTGGTTTTAGTTTTCCCAGCTGGGTTGTTACAGTGGCCATTTTATGATCCGACGTTCCCGAGGCAAGTAGTATGTATATTATCTTTGAACACCCACTAGTATTTGCTCTTGTAAATTTTGTTTAAATTTTATTGTTTCTTATGAAGTTAACATTAATATTATTGTGTACAAGCTAACATGATCGTTATGTTTTCAAGGAATGCATACAATTTGTAAATACGCGTTTGCAGTGGTTGTAACATACAATAACTGCAACTATTCGTGTTGGTATTTTACTGTTGAGTCGGCTGCAGAAGCAACTTTTATAGTACACGGTAAAATATAATGGAACCTTAACATGCATAATCAAAACAACACTATTGAAGAATTCGTTTTCCCCGCATAGTACCTTGAATACAAAATGACTAGGTAGCTTTCCAAAAATGAAAGTTCACATTATCACAACAGTGCAATGTGGGGAGGGAAGAATGTGCGTTATACGTATAAATAGTGTTTTATTTTGGCGACGAACAACTAGCATTTTAACGTTACAAAACCAACCATTTTCATAAAAAATAACAATATTTTCCATCAGAGTGATATTGACATGACTTCCCCACCATGAAAATGTAAGTCAATTATTTAATAGGTGAAAATGCAAGTACATTGAACGGCAATGTGTGTGGCATTTTTTGGTTATCAATTTAATTTACAATTACAAAATGATTTGGCTCTAGAAAGGATATGAAAATAAGATTTACATCCACATGGCTTAGAAATGATATACAATAATGATTCATAAGCACGTGCTTAGATATAATTTCCGAATTTCAAACACACGTTATCTCACGCTGTAGCTGTCCGCACTTCTCGCCGAGCATTAGTGGCAC